CGTCTGCTCAAGTCTTTTGTCCATTTTCCAACTGGAATGTTTATTTTCTTACTGCTGTGTTTAGAGTTCCTTATATACTATGGATACAAATTCTTTGTTGGATACATGACTTGCAAATACTTTCTTCCAATTTTTGGTTTGTCTTTTTATCTTCTTAAATGGGTATTTTGCAGAGCAAATGATTTTTTAAAAATTTTATGAAGCCAAGTTTATTTCTTTTATGAATTGCATCCTTGGTATCATGCCAGTTTTCCCAAGTGGCTGTACAGGAGAAAAAAATCAACCATTTTTTCTTCCTCACATGTGTTTAGTACTGTGACAGATGCTGAGAGATCCATAGATATAGTTGTGCTCAAGAAGCTTCTAGTTCAGTTTAGACAAATACACAAATAATTATAGCAGAAGATGGGAGGTGACTGTGAGTCATGTGAGTATTGCAAAGACTGAGTGGCTGGAGGAGAGTTCATGAGAAGGAAGGATCATTTTGCATTGGAAATATCAGGGAAGGCTTCATGGAGAAGGCAGTATTTGGGCCTTAAGGATTTCTTTCTTTTTTTTTTTCCATTTATTTTTATTAGGTGGAGCCTAATTACTTTACAATATTGTAGTGGTTTCTGCCATACATTGACATGAATCAACCATGGATTTACATGTGTTCCCCATCTCGATCCCCGCTCCCGCCTCCCTCCCCATCCCATCCCTCTGGGTCTTCCCAGTGCACCAGCCCTGAGCACTTGTCTCATGCATCCAACCTGGGCTGGTGATCTGTTTCACCCTTGATAGTATACTTGTTTCAGTGCTGTTCTCTCTGAACATCCCACCCTCTGGCCTTAGGGATTTCAACAGTTGAAGTCAGGGCAAGAATTGCACAAGCAGTGGAACAGATGGGACAGAAAAATTAAGATCAAAAAGTGGTCTGAGGGGGAGAGGCTAGAGGGAAAGAAAAAGTTGCCTTTTAAATAACAGCCCTTAAAGGGCAACAAGCACTCATGAAGAGATGCCCAAAAGGCAGTCGGATATGTGAGTCTGGAGTTGGAAACTGGAAATAGGGATTTGAGAATCAACAACATAGGTCAGGTCTTTTATTAATACATGCCCCACTGCATCTTGTATTCTCCTCTAGATCACCAGTCACAGTTTAGAGCACCAGTCACAGTTACAATTAACAATTAACTGTGTAATTAGTTGCTTAATCTTTATCTCTCTTGCTAAAATTCCAGTCCCATGGAAGCAGAGTCCCAGCACCTAGTCCAGTGCCTTGTACTCAGTAAATATTTGCTGAATGAATGAACAAAAGAAGTTGCTACTTCTAATAGCCATCATTTACTGAGCATGCACATGGAGGCACTGTGATACACACTTTGTACACACAGCCTCATTTAAGCCTCACAGTAATCTCATGAAAAGGAGGTCAAGGATTCTCAAATCTAAATTCAATGGGTTGGAGGCAATGCCTAGGAATCTGAATTTAAGTTCCCAGGTATTTCTAAAGAGCAGTAAGGTTTGGAGACTCCTCAGGTCGATGGTTTTGTTGAGATTTTACAGATGAAGAGACTAAGGTTCAGCAAATTTTGTTGTTCAACAGAATTTTGCTGTTGTGTCTCACTCTCTGTGACCCCATGAACTGCAGCACGCCAGGCTTCCCTGTCCTTCACTATCTTCCAGAGTTTGCTCAAACTCATGTCCATTGAGTCAGTGATAACATCCAATCATCTCATCCTCTGTCATCCCCTTCTCCTCTTGCTCTCAATCGTTCCCTGCATCAGGGTCTTTTCCAGTGAGTACACTCTTCTCATCAGTTGGCCAAAGTATTGGAGCTTCAGCACCAGTCCTTCCAATGAATATTCGGGACTGATTTCCTTTAGGATTGACTGGTTTGATCTCCTTGCAGTCCAAGGGACTCGCAAGAGTCTCCTCCAGCACCACAGTTTGAAAGCATCAGTGACTTGTTCAAAGTTCCATGGCTAGGAAGAACCGTGATGCAAAACCAGAGCTCTTTACCACAAGCATCTCTGCCTCTGGGAGATATCATACCTAAAAATGAGTTTATGAGGGAACAGCAGAAGGCCAAAGACTGAGTCCTTGAAATCCGAGTAGTGAGCACTGCCAAATGCCACAGAGAGGCCACAGAGGATGTGGCAGGAGGGAAAATCTGGGGATAACTGAACAATGTGTCTGCAGTGCCCGAATCTGCCATTATAGTAAAATGAATACACACCCCCTTGCATAGGGCAAGGCACTCGCTTAGGAGAACCTGGCCAGCTGGAAGAAGATGTGGCTTGTGACTCAGCCAAGATTACTCTTTGGTAGTACGACTCTGTGCTAAAATAATTAAAGCCAAATATTTGGGTCTATGGAGTGGTATGCCAAAAAAGAGGAGGCAGGGAGGCCCAATTCTCATGGGGGAATTTAAGTATGGAATCTCTGAAATGCTAAGCTATTCAGCAATTGCAAAATGCAGCTCACTTTAGATTTTCCAGGGCCACTACCCCTTTGATGGATGATTCAGGTTTTTGCCTCACCCTCTTCTGCTCTATGTGTGTTTGCCTTTGGATTACTGCTTCTATTGGAGAATGGAAAAGAAAGGCAAGGACCTCCCTGGTGGTCCAGGGGTTAAAAATCAGTTAAAATTGCCTGCCTCGCAGGGGATATGGGTTTGATCCCTGCTCCCGGACTCTTCCACATGCCATGGAGGAATGAAACCTGCACAACACAACTACTGAAGCCCACATTCTCTGGAGTCTGTGCTTTGTAACAAAAGAAGCCACTGCAATGAGAAGCTCATGCACTGCAATGAAAACCCAGCAAAGCCAAAAATACATAAATAAAAATTGTAAAAATAAAAGTGATTTTGCTTTTGGTAGTACAGTTAAAGTGACATTAGAGCCACAGCCCAGAAAAGCTTCTAACTATATGTGTTTGTTTACACTTAGCCACAGTCAGGTTAAGCCCTGGTAGCACAAACAGTCAAGAGGGCTATACTCTCACTCCCCAGGGGCAGCCTGGAGGCCTGTGCAAGGATACTGTGGGCAGTCTCATCACAAAACCTGACTCATTTGCTGTTGATGGTAGATGCAAAGCTATACCTATTTGAAAGAGGCCAGTGATGACATTAACCCCTTACATCTGTACAAAGCACCTTCACACGCACCAACTCAGTCTTTCATGACCTTGGGGTAGGTGTTGCTATCCCCTCATGCTTAGTAAGTCGCAGGAGACACAATTCAAACCCATCACCTCTGATTCTTTGAATTACAAACCAGCCAGCTATTTTGTTATTGGCCAAAACCTTTCTGAAGCCCACTTACCTTTATTCTGGCTACATGGAAATTAATAAGACTTTGAGAGTCTCATTGCTCTAAGTAGAAGTATGCAGTGAGGAAGAAAATGTGTTTGCTTGCTAGTAACCTTATGCAGGGTGCTGCAGCTAAGCCTACTTCTTATCAGTAAGATGGGGATAAAGGTTACCTTGAAGAGTAGCCAGAAAGAAGTAAACCTATGCAAAATTCCTGGCACAATGGCTGGCAGAGAACATTCAGTGATGTCAGCACTCTTCCATCCTTCACATTACCAGGTATTTCTGAGTCCACTGAACTCAGAATTGAGTCCCTGCAGCTCAGGTCTTAGCTTCTGAGGAGGAACCAAGGACCAGGCTGTGGAAGGGCCTGGCCACCTTACATGACATAAAGCAGAAAGACAAGAATACACTCCAAAGTCTCATAGGACTCTATCCCCCCTCCCCCTTTTAGTGGCCTGTCTCAGGTAATATTTCTTCCATGAAAGTAAAATTTATCCTAGAACTACATCCTTGAGATTCCAAGATCAAGAAAGGCCTTCAGTTTGGAATTCTGGAATCTACTAAAAAGTTCCTCCCCTTCCCTCTTCAAAGTCATAGCCACATCCTGAGAGATTACAAGTTTGAAGACCCCACGCTGCTTCCTCCCAGCCTTCATCTTTATAGATCCCATTCTTGGAAATCCACCGTGCAGAGAAGCAGGCCAGCTCAGGCAACAGCACTCTTCTGCACTTTCGGAACTTAATGTTTGCAGGGACCGCTTTTGTCCAAACCAGATGAAGATATTCACAGACTGAAATCTCAAACGCCTACGGGCCAGACAGGTAAAGTAGATGGATTAAGAAGGCGGACATTAATCAGTGGAGAGTAGTGGGGGACTGTGGTAAACAGGAGGGCACACTTAACACATAAATGGCAGGGGCACCTCAGCTCCGCCCATCATGGCCATCCCAGCTTTTCCCGTCGCTTCTCTCCACTCCCTGCAACTCAGGCTCTCGCGCCGCACCTCCTCCCCTCTCTTCCCCGGGGCGTTGCAGGCTTTCGGTGCAGCCAGCCAACGCGGGCATCCCCGAGAGCCGCAGAGGAGCGGCTGATGCGATGCTCTCTGGCGTAGACCCACTTTCCCCCTGGGAACCCCGAGCGGGCTGAAGGAGGGGACAAAGCCGCGCCCTGAGGGCCTACACTCTAACTGGAAAAACAGAGCCTCACGCCCAGGAGCTCCGGGGTGGGCGCGAGAGTACAGCACACCTCTCAGAAAACACTAACCTCCCGGTGGATTAAAGCGGGCAAGGAGGGCAGGGTCAAGGGACGCGATAGAACCGCGCAGTTTCCAGATGGGAAAGTCCCATCGTTCAGGCACCCCTGCAACACAAGTCACTTCCAAACCAGACGATCCTCGGCGAGGGGCTCATCAGACAGGAGGTGGCTCCTGCACAAATGACTCTGTCCCCTCGCCCTCGGTCCGGGGCACGCGCAGCTGCAGGAGCCACTGCGCCTCCCCGCCCCTGCTCCTGGAGGCTCCCCTCTCCCCTCTCCGCCCGACCCGAGCAGGAGCTCCGCCCCCAACGCGCCGCCCCAGTCGTCCCCCCACCCCCCCACGCCTTAAAAGCCGGTGCACACCGCCCCGCCGCGCCCCGCCCGGCGCACCTCTCCTCTCCTCGCCAGCGCCAGCCGCAGTCGCTCTCCCGGTCCTGGTCCCGGCACCATGAGCTTCGGCTCGGAGCACTACCTGTGCGCCTCCTCCTCTTACCGCAAGGTGTTCGGGGACGGCTCACGCCTGTCCTCGCGCCTCTCCGGGGCTGGCGGCGCGGGGAGCTTCCGCTCGCAGTCGCTGTCCCGCTGCAATGTGGCCTCCTCGGCCGCCTGCTCCTCGGCCTCGTCGCTCGGCCTGGGCCTGGCCTACCGCCGGCCCCCGGCGTCCGACGGGCTGGACCTGAGTCAGGCGGCGGCGCGCACCAATGAGTATAAGATCATCCGCACTAATGAGAAGGAGCAGCTGCAGGGCCTCAACGACCGCTTCGCCGTGTTCATCGAGAAGGTGCACCAGCTGGAAACGCAGAACCGCGCGCTCGAGGCCGAGCTGGCCGCGCTGCGGCAGCGCCACGCCGAGCCGTCGCGCGTCGGCGAGCTCTTCCAGCGCGAGCTGCGCGATCTGCGCGCGCAGCTGGAGGAGGCGAGTTCGGCGCGCGCGCAGGCCCTGCTGGAGCGCGACGGGCTGGCCGAGGAGGTGCAGCGGCTGCGGGCGCGCTGCGAGGAGGAGAGCCGGGGGCGCGAAGGGGCCGAGCGCGCCCTGAAGGCGCAGCAGCGCGACGTGGACGGCGCCACGCTGGCCCGCCTGGATCTGGAGAAGAAGGTAGAGTCGCTGCTGGACGAGCTGGCCTTCGTGCGCCAGGTGCACGACGAGGAGGTGGCCGAGCTGCTGGCCACGCTGCAGGCGTCTTCGCAGGCCGCGGCCGAGGTGGACGTGACTGTGGCTAAACCAGACCTGAGTTCGGCGCTGAGGGAGATCCGCGCCCAGTATGAGTCGCTGGCCGCCAAGAACTTGCAGTCGGCCGAGGAGTGGTACAAGTCCAAGTTTGCCAACCTGAATGAACAGGCGGCGCGCAGCACCGAGGCCATCCGGGCCAGCCGCGAGGAGATTCACGAGTACCGGCGCCAGCTGCAGGCACGCACCATCGAGATCGAGGGCCTGCGCGGGGCCAATGAGTCCCTGGAGAGGCAGATCCTGGAGCTGGAGGAGCGACACAGTGCCGAGGTGGCCAGCTACCAGGTAAAGGTTGGAGCGCTGCGTAGAGAGGGGAGTCCTGTGCTCTCCGGCGCGTATTTCTCGCAGAGTTGGGGCCCTCGAAATCAAGGGGATTATAAAGGAGGGGACGGAAAGCGCCCCGCCCAGAGGCGCCGGCAAACAAAAAGCCCTGGAGCCTCTCTCGCTAATTTTAGGGGCCTGGACGCCCTCTTTCCCTGCCCCTCACTTGCGTCCCTGTCTGAGCCCTTCTAACAAAGAAGCCCTCAAGCTTCTATTCTTCAGCAAGTGGGCAAAAACACGCTGGCGACCTGAAGAACAACCCCCTCCCAAAGAGGGGGTGAGCGCAATAGGGGTGGGTCACAGCCTTCCGTGGTTGGCCGTGCTGTTTCCGCTGTCTGGCTTGTTTGATTGAAATGCTTTGAAATGCTTTCTTGGCGTCCTGGGAGTATTTGTGCCATTGGGTTGGGGGAAGAATGCGAGACTATACTGGCAAGAGTTATATCCCATTGTCTTGACTTTTGCCCTCAAAGGAGTAGAGACAGGCAGCCAAGGAGATGAGTGATTGGGCTAGTTATAACCGCCCTGCTCTATTCTCTCCCAGCACACACTCAGTTCCCTCGGCGACTGACGGTATTTCTTCCTAAAGAAAGCATTACAGACGTTAGCAAAGGTGGATGGTCGGGCGCTGTCCTCGGTGCTGATCTCGAGTTCTTCCCATCTCAGAATTCCCCTCCTGTCTCATGTCCCAGTTATGACTCTCTAGGCAATTAACTGCTTCGATTTTTTTTTTCCCTTCTGCAACACCAACACATCAGTCTTGGCTACCTGCAATCAAGGGTCACCTCGTGGACGGCCTCAATTTTCACTTTCATGGATGGCTTAGCATTTAACAAAAACCACTTAGTCTGCCCCGCAGCAGTGAAGTCCTACTTGAAAATGACCATTTCCTTAACATTTTTCCATCCTAAGTGCATGTGATAAATCACAGAGATGAGTGCATCTTTGTTATAGGTCACTTATTTTTTTCCCATCTTTGCCTGTCCTCTAAGCTCCTGTGAAGGTATCGATTGGCTCTTTCCTCCTTTTCTCTCCAAACAAAGGCCACTGTATCTTCAGTTTTACTACATGGAACATTCTGGGCTTATGACCACAAAGGACACAGAAGAAGGTGAAAAGTGTGGAAAAGAATCTAAATAGTGTGGTTCAGTTTCAAGGTGCCATAAAAGTTCCATTGGATAGAATGCTAATAGTTCAGAAACTTGCAATAATTCATTATACCAAGCTCAGAGTTTCCATTTGATAAAATTAATAATGTTTAGGAACGTTAAGAAAATACAATCAAGAAAGCAGTGAATCCTCAAAGTGCTATTTTTGTCTAGAGCCAGAGAATTATTATGTGTATGCAGTATTTGCTGTTCATTATAAATAACTCCCTTTGATAAAGGAAGAAAGCTTGTTTGGGCTATTTATTTTGGTGCTTATAATTACAGTAATATTCAAATAAATACTTTTATTCCACTTCAAAATCTTTAACTTGAACTTTTCACTATGTGGCCTAGCTCTCAATAGCCTGAACTAATTACATTTATTTAATTGAGACTTCATGTTTTCTTCTAGAAGCTTCAAAGGATGGGCTTCGTGCTCTTCTGAAGGGCTAGCCCAGTATTTCTCTAAAAAGGATAACTTACCCATAATCACCATCTGAATTGGGCTTTGCCATGTCGTCTGTTTGCTTGGTGTAGCCCCGACATTTTAAGAAGTAGTGACAGTATTGTCTGGTTTGTTTTGTTTGCTTTAAAAGGCTTTCAATGTTAGACAATAGTAGGGTCATCCAGACTAGCCTGCAGAAAACAAAAAACAACAGAAACTGCGGCATCTGCAGCTCTGCAGTGCTGCCCCCACCAGCCATAGACTCAGTGGACCTGCGATGAATGGAAGAGGAGATCAGACAACAGATATATATATATATATAAATATATGAGGAGGGTAAAAGCTGAGGAGGGGCTCACATCTTTACCTGCAGATCCTGAAGTCCTGAAGCCACAAGGGTGTCATCAGGCTATTCTGACAATCTTAGCAGCACTGATTGAGATGAAAAGCCTCCTTCCCCACAGTGAGATTCAGCCATTGTTTTCTGGCCCTCTAACCCCTCCCCCTCCCCTTTCACTACAGTGATGGGAGGCTGTTCTCTTTCTTTTGCTTCAGAGATTAGTGGTAGACCCATTTTCCTTTGCAGGTTTGCCACCCTTTTAGAGGCAGAGGAAGGCCCCATTAAAGTCACGTTTTCCCTGCCCCAGAGAGCTGACAGCCTATTTGAGGAAAGAAAGCTTATCACACTTTTAAAAGGGTGAAGAATGAGTCAAGGTGACATATTAATAGTGAGTATACAGTGGTGTATGCAAGAGCTTGAATCAGGCGACACGAAAAATTAAGAGGCACTAGGACTTTTGTCCTCAGAAGCCAAACAGAGCAATCCTCTTTAACTAAAGGCTTTCCATTTCTGACACAAGGTGATTCTGGTTCCTGCCTCACCACCATTAGAGTCCCTGTTCTACCAAAGACGTCTAAGGACATTTTTGAACGTTACTGGGGGCCCTGGCCCTATACGACGGTCAATCTTGGAAAGCTGAAGCTTTCCTTGAAAGACCTTGCGGAACAATCAGGATCACACCATTGGTTAATGCTCTCCAGGGAGATGAGCCAAGTCTGTCCTCTTCTCTCCAGTATGAGATTGAAATGTAGCCTAATTAAATAGCAGGAAGGGGCTGGCCCCTTGGAGATTGGGGGTGGCAGTGGCTGCATATAAATCTATAACCTGATAGATCCATTTCTGAAATTAGAATTCAAGAAAAAGGTCTTCATTTGGTCCCCTTCTCTCTTTTTTTTCTACTCTTCCATATGCCTTTTGCTTTCTTTTGTTCTGTTTTTGCCCCCTCTCCCTCAGTATATTAGGGCTTCCCTGGTGGCTCAGTGGTAAAGAATCTGCCTGCCAGTGCAGGAGATGCACGTTTGATCCCTGGGGATCAGGAAGATTCCCCTGGAGGAGGAAATGGCAACCCTCTCTAGTATTCTTGCCTGGGAAATCCCATGGACAAAGGAGCCTGGTGAGCTAAAGTCCATGGGGTCACAAACAGTCAGACATGACTTAGCAACTAAACACCAAACATAACACCTCACTGTATTATTGTCACCTGGGCCACCCTTTAGAGCCTTTACAGAAAAGCTAGTGGTTCCTAAACCCATTGACCCACCAAGGTTACTTGGGGGCTTAACAGAAAGAGTCTCAGGCTTATTCCCAAAGATATGGATTCAATAGTGTGCAGGTGGGGCTCAGGAATATGTAGTTTCAATAAAAGCACTGCAGCCTGTCAATTCCTCAGACTGATTTGGGGCTGCACTGACTTAAACCACCTTTCCCAGTGTAAACCAGCCTATAGAAATACTTGTAGTGCAACATTTTAAAGTATTGTAGAAAAATCATGGGATGAAACAGATAGGAGTAGAAAAGGCAGCAAAGTGACCTGTGAGTGCACCACATACAGAAATCCCCTTCCCACCTGCGTTATCAGGCAGAGCAGTAATTCTGAACAGCCTCCTTCAATCAGATGGTGCCGCCCTCACTGCTATTCCCCTGGGTGAGGGCCCCTAAAAGTGATGAGCCCACAGCTCCGTGTGTTGTCCTGTGCTCCGCTGCAGATGCTCTGGTGGCCTGTTCTTTCTCTTACTTCCAGTCCACATCCTTCCGGCCCTGAGGAGTATGCTCAGCCATTCCAGGAGAGACCCGTGGAATGGGAGTGCCTCTCTCCTGTTCCCTCAGTCTAAGCCAAGCTGCTGCGTGGTTGGGGGAGGGGGCAGACTGCAGCGCTCTGCTCAGATTTCCAGCTGGAGGCCATCTTTGGCAGGGCTTTTGAAGGGCAATGCAAGACAGCCTGGGGTGGGGAAGAAAGCGCAGACAAAGAGACTACATGTTGAAAAGCAGTGGTCAGCAGTCAGCATAGTTCCTTCTAAAAAGAGCGAAGTCATGCTTTATGTCTACACTGATCCATAAAATAGACCTGTGAAATGTGTGGCAGAAAAGTTCAAGGAAATCTCATCTATCTAGAACTCAGGTCCCCAGCAACCTCTTATTCAGAAAACAGCTGTGAAACAAAAATAATTTTTTAAAAGAAACTAATTAACCTACTGATGTGACACATCTATCTCTAAATCACATATTAGGAAGTTGGCCCCTCTGTTGCCCCCCAGCTTATTTGTTACATTACTTTGTGATTCTAAAGCGTTTTGCTATTTAGATTTCAAGCCTGCTGCAAGATGGAGAAGAGGAACCACAGGCGTCAGGCATTGTCAGGAGTGAGTAGCAGCAGATTAGTTCAACTTTCCGGACAAAGAAAACCACTAGCAGCAAACACTAGTTCAAATACTGCTCTCAGGGGCCATTTAGGGTAGAAATACACAGCCTTATATATACCTTATATGTACCTTAGTTGACCTAAAACATAAAACACATCACAGAATTATAGAGAAATAATTGATCATTATCTTAATCCTTAGTTGCTGAGAAAGGTTGCATTTGGTTTAGTATCCTAGGAAAGAGTAGTCCAAAGCACTTTAGAAAAGTTTTTATTTAGATTTGTTATTAAAAACTGTTATGGAAACCTGGGTATCCAGAGCTGAAAAGCCTATGGCTATTTTGAAGAATGAAGTATAATATTAAATTCTGATACTTAAGGGTTTAACTTTGTACCTTCCTATCTGGAGAAAGAAAATAATATCCTTTAAATGAAAAAAAACAAAAACAAAAAACCAACTGTTATGGAGATGTACATCCTCGTGAAAAACAAAAAATAATCCAGTGCTTTATGGGATTTGCCTCCAACTCTCCAATGTTTAAGTTTTATTATACGTTGCTTTCTTTAGTTATCCAAGCCAGGGGTTGCCTATCTCTCGGATCTAATGCCTGATGATCTGAGGTGGAGCTGATGTAATAATAGAAATAAAGTGCACAACAAATGCAGTGTGATTGAATCATTCCAAAACCTCCCCTCCCCTCAATCCATGGAAAAATTGTTTTCCGGGAAACCAGTCCCCGGTGCCACAAAGGGTAGGGACCGCTGATCTAAGGGGTTGTAGGGAGGGCTTGTGATCAATTTATCCATATCATTAAAAGGGTAGAGTCACGGTATGATAGTAACAATAATAAAAATTACTAACATTTATTAAGCAGTTCCTAGGTACCAAATGCTGTTCTAATGACTATTATCTAATTGAACAGATAATGGACTCTTCACATAATAATCTGAGGTGCATTAAATTGAAATCCTCACTTGAAGATCTCAGAATACCTTAGAAAAGAATAAACATTATAATTTCCCATATATAGAAGTGGAAGTTTCAAAGAAAGTAAAGTATAGAAAACTGAGGTATGTTAGATGTTTGTGGCAGGGCAAGAAATGCAATCCAAAGATCTTGATGAAATCCTCTTTTTTTCCTCCTGTAACATTCTCCTGCCCCTCTGCATAATGAGAATACTTTCTCCCCTTTCTCCTTTTTCCTTCACCTTAGACTCTTTTCCCCTTACCACGGTATATTGATTCTCTTACTCCTAGGGCGTCAGTAGAAGATTTGCTTATAGCTCAGATGGTGGAGTCTGCCTACAATGCGGGACAACCGGGTTCGATCCCTGGGTCAGGAAGATCCCCTGGAGAAGGAAATGGCAACCCACTCCAGTATTCCTGCCTGGAAAATCCCATAAACTGAGGAGCCTGGCAGGCTACGGTCCATGGGGCTGCAAAGAGTCGGACACGACTGAGCAATTAACACTAATTTAACCTCACATATAGCAACCATCAAGTAAAATTTCTTGGCAAAAATCCCTTTAAAATCTTATGATCTCTTAACACACTTTGGAATATTTCCACCATTGTTCAGTGTATTATATATTTTCCTCATTGCTTATCATTCCTTGCTCTGTACCCATCAGTTAATTGGGTTTTTTCTTTGCAGTATTCCTGTCAATATTTATAGAACAGGTAGGTGGTATGAATTTTAATTCTTTCTGCAGATTCTTTTGATTTGGAAGTTTGCACCCCCTGATATATCAGCCCTGCCTTTCACCAGCATTTTATCATCCCTGCAAGGGAAGTTCAAAGGGTTCCTCAGCACTTTCTTGAGGTTTCTGATATATTTATCTGCATGACTGTTTCATAAAAATAACTCTCAGCCACTGTACTCACTATGTTGAGAATTGCAACTGAATTATATGAGTTATTTGCTCAGAATAAGAAAAGAAATTCATTCAACAGTCATTCGTTGAGCATCTCCAGTGTTCACTGTGCTGGGCTCTGGGCTTCCAGGGCCAAACTAGATAGACGGCTTCCATGTAAATTACGTCCCAGGACAGTAGTTTTCTAACAGTGATCTGCTCTCCCAGGGCCATTTAGCAATGTCTGGAGACCATGCTGGTTATCTCAGCTGGGAGAGAAGGTGGCTGGCATCTAGTCCATAGAGACCAGGAATGCTGCTAAAAATCCTACATTCACAGTGACGTTCCCCCTCAGCAAAGAATTACCCATATAACAAGAGCTAAAAAGCAGAGTGGCCACCTTCAGGTGGGAGCTTGCCAGGAATGCTGCTAAAAATCCTACATTCACAGTGATGTTCCCCCTCAGCAAAGAATTACCCATATAACAAGAACTAAAAAGCAGAGTGGCCACTTTCAGGTGGGGGCTTTTTTCTGAAGATACTTTTTTTAAAGTTTTCACAAATTTCCTTCATGGGCTAGCAGCTGCCCTGGCTTAAGGTAAAAGTGCATGCTAGATCAGTGTGGAGAGGGTACTAAATTGGATGCCCAAGACCTGAGTAAAGGGCATTTGAACTGAATCTTGTGTGACATGAAGTCAGCCATGTGAAGACCCACCACAGAGCATTCCAAACAGGAAAGAGCTAGTCTAATGGGCCTGCGATAGCAATGAACTTGGTAAGTTTAAGGAGCAAAAGAGAAGGCCACAGTAACTAAAACATACTGAGCAAGGTGAAAAGTATAGGCTGAGCTGAGAAGTTTGCACTTAATTCCAAAGCTATTGGAGGGTTTTAAGTAGATGAGCAGATCTGCTGTGTTTTTAAAAGATCCTCTTGTTTCTCAAGAATCACAGATTTAAACCTTTTTTTCTTCTGTGCCTGGTTTTGCACCTGGAGGAACTTGAAGCACAATTATTATATGAACTTAAGTTTCTTATTTTAAAAAATTGTAATTTCAATCTGCTGTTTGGATTTAAAAAAAAAAAAATTCCTTGAAGTGTTTATGCTTCCTATCTATCATGTAAAATTTGGTCAGTGAAGTGATTGAGTAGCAGACTTCCATGAAACCATCACAATGAATGGAGGCAGAGGAGACTTGCCATCCTCTCTGTGTTCTCCACAGTTAGAATTTTCTGAATCTAAGCTCCTAACCTGAGCCTTTGGTTTTGAAAAGGACATTCAACAACTGAGTGATTCAGCAGTAATACAATAGCAACGGACGGACAGTAAGTGAGTAAAAAATAAATATCTTCCTGGTGTTTAGTTGAGAACCCTGTGCCCTGTGGTAGAAATGTATCCAGATCTCCTGGGACCTTTATGGAAAAATTAAGATGTTGGGACCCCATCCTGGAACAATTGAATCAGAATCTGGGCTGAGGGACAGGTATGGATTTTTAATGTTTAGGCAGAGTTGAGAATCCTTGCTTTCTCAATCTCGATGAATGTCAGCCGGTTTGGCCTACGTATACTGGATTTGTGTTGCTGCTTTTCAGGATAACATTGGGCAGCTGGAGAATGATCTGAGGAACACCAAGAGTGAGATGGCCCGCCACCTTCGGGAATACCAGGACTTGCTCAATGTCAAAATGGCTCTTGACATTGAGATAGCAGCTTACAGGTACGTCACAGGGCATGCTCACCTAGGCAGATCCCATCACCTAGGGCATCGCTACCCAGATAAGTGGTTTTAGACTCCGATTTCTGATGGGTGAAGTGGGGGGTGAGGAAAGGCATCACTGGCTCCTTCCAGGTGAGCTGACCCTTACATCCCTCATCTTGGTTAGGTCCCGGCTCCACGTTGCTAGTACCTGGAGGCCTGGAGTAGTCTACCTACCTCTGCAGAGATTTAAGGGAATAATGTGAGTGCACAGAGGTTGAAAGAAAACCCATCAGACTCCAACTTTAAAAACAGGATTCATATAACATAGGAAGTCCTCATAGATGAGGTATCCCCCTGGATTCCCACTTAAGCAATGTTTAAGTAAACATTTACCTTTTAAAAAAAAGACTGCAGCTACTGCTTTTTGAATGACTACTGTGTGCTAGGCACTATATTAGATTCTGCATATAAATTATCTAGGTATCAGGTTATATTATCATTTTGCAGATGAGGAAACTTGAAACATAGGCTGATTGTGAACTTGCTGAAAGTCACAGTGTTTGTAAATGAAAGAGTTCAGAGTCAACTTCAGATCTGAGAACTTTTTCTTTTTTTTTTTTTTGACACTTTGTATACTACTTCAAAGCTCCCAGAGGATTTGACAGTGTTTTGAGTTTATGATTTTTTTTTAAATAATAAAAGTTACTGGAATTATGAGAGGAAAAGAAAGATATTGGGGCCATTCTATTATGATGCTGTTTAGGCCAGGCTGGAAAAAATCTTGGTATCTGAAACAGTTTAATTCCTTGGTTTCTGTTGTTGCTGATTCCATTTCCTTTGTATCCTGACATGCTGAAAAAATACAGATCTCAAGTTCAAGCTGAATTAGGCAGTTCTTTTGTGGACTTCTTACCTTCTTACCCCTGTTGCACTTAAGGTGTTAATTAGTAAATTACTTCTCCTTAGAGCTTTGTAGACTCTAAGTGCCAAAAATGGGTGTGATGAAACCAAGGGGAGTTGAAGGTTTTTTTTTTATCTTATTTGCAAATAGGATAGGTTTCCCCTTGACAATGCTTTAAACATAGCTGTTGCTAAAGGGGTGTGTGTGTGTGTGTGTGTGTGTGTACGCGCACTAGATGAAAAGGTGTGTGTGTGTGTGTGCGCGCGCGTGCGCTGGATAAAGTCCAAGTCTTTGGCCTTGAAATTCAATATTTATTGGTCTCAATGTCATAAAGAAACTGTGAAATCTGGAATCTGGAGTCTTTCCGAAATGAATAGGGGATGGAAGGTTAAGTTGTTTAAAAAGTTGCAAGTTGACTTCCTAAGAGTTTTTCTTTGTTGGATTTACAGGAAACTGCTGGAAGGCGAAGAGACACGTTTCAGCACCAGTGGATTAAGCATTTCAGGGCTGAATCCACTTCCCAACCCAAGCTATCTGCTCCCACCTAGAATCCTCAGTTCTACCACCTCCAAAGGGTCAGCCACTGGGCTGTCTCTTAAGAAAGAGGAGGAGGAAGAGGAGGCTTCTAAGGTAGCCTCAAAGAAAACCTCCCAGATAGGAGAAAGTTTTGAAGAAATATTGGAGGAGACAGTGATATCTACTAAGAAAACCGAGAAATCAAATATAGAAGAAAACACCATTTCAAGCCAAAAAATGTAATTCTCTCGCTTAAAAAAAAGTTAATGCTTAGGAGGGGATAATATACACTTGACTTGTTAAACAGCCTAGTCCTGATCCAAAACACCTGTCGCCGCTCTACATTGTCTTTAAGGCTTCAGTCTCATATTTAGCATTGAATACATACTTTCTCTAATAAGAAAACCACACCTTAGATTGGAACAAACCGTTGTCCTAGAGCAATCACAGAGGAGTTATCTAAGAATGCAGCTTTCTCACCTAAAGCTCAGGCTTCACAGCTATAGATGATTCAGGTACAGAGGAAGTACAAACTAAGGTGCTAAATCTCTGATCATCACCATCTTGCTGTGAATTGAAATTAAAACCTATATTCACTCACCATACCCAGCCGTTACCCAGCTATGTAATCTCACTCTAGATATCTAAAACATAAGATCACTGCCAGAGATAAACCCACAGTCCACACCCAACACCACTCGGATAGAATTGTTTCACAAATGATAGGTGTTTGTTTAATGGGTATTTTCCTCTCTCACCCCCCTGCAATTCCATATATCCTTTATTCCATTCAGGGAAAAAAAAAAAAAGGCTAGTGTAGTATTTGTCCCTTTAAAACATGTTTAGGTTCCTCTCAAAAGAACTTAACCCCTTTAGCTCTCTCTGCTCAGTAAGTAGAATTAGATGCATGTTGACCATTTCTATGATTCGTGTAATGACTTCTCCATGTCCATTTCATGTCCTTTTAATTACTTAAAAAAAAATGGCAGTGATAAGTTTGTGGGTTGCCCCCAAGAAACAATGAAAAGAGTCCCTAGGTTTTAGACTTTTAGCTTATTCAAATCCATTTAATTAGGAAAAAAGAATAGTTTATTAAGAATGTAGGTTTTCACCTTAACTTTAGAAACACAGTCATAGTTAATCCCAAACTGTGATTAAGCTGACCTTAGATTTAGTAGTAGAAGCTAGAAGAGGTGAGTATTTGTATGAAGGGGAAAAGACAAAGTCTCATTTATCTGTGGCAGTTCATTTGTGGTGATAGAGAATTAGCAGTTCCATGCCTTTTCCCTTAAAGTCCTCGTATTTCCCTCCCCACTAGTCTAGGTCCTGAAAAGGCCTTGTCTTCACACCTATGCCTTTTAAGAGTATAAGTGTAGATTATCTTATCACCAGGACACAATGCTCCTGCCAAAAGTAAAAAGTCCCTTCTGGTCAATCAACACCACCAGCAAATAAATAAAAGAAATCTGGACCTTCTAACAGAGTTTTGCCCAAAAGATTTCCCATTGCTGCATAGTTGGTGGGGTCTGGCTTCCCTGCTGGAGAGACACTCTGGCCAGAGAAGGGACACAGTTGTCCTGCTCGCACGCTAGGAAATAGGTTCTGGGAAGTCCCGTTTTCATTTGCCCAGCTGTGTAGCAGCTGCATTGCCCAGTCTTCCACATGTGCCAAGTGTGATGCAGAATTAATTCTCTGTCAGAGTCACTTCCACAGATCTGAAGAACTGCCATATCTGTGTTACACATCTCCATTTCCGTGGTGAAGAGGGCATGATGCTTTTACTCAACTTTCTGGTCCTAGCACGTGCTTCAACCGTTCAAGGAACTTCAAAGAATACTTTTCTCTTCTTCCTTTCCCTCACTCCATTCCTGTCTTTACTCCTTACACTTACTGTAAAACACTAGTAAAATCAGTATTAAAAGTCATACGAATCCCACCAACATAACTTGTGTTTTGTGGTTTCTGCTGCTTTAACTGAGAGAAGCACTGTTTTGGTTCAGTGAATAGTTGCACCCCCTGATAATTCAGAAATCATATGTTCTAAAAAAAAAAAAAAAAAGAAAAGAAATCATATGTTCTCTGCTCTGTGCATCCTTGTTTAGTTTCTTTTTTTTTTCCCCCCTGTCGAAGCCTTAGGGCTATAGTCTGCAGACTGTCTGGTCTGAAACATAATGCACTAAGTGGGCAGTTCATGGCAGGAAGTGGAGAAATCAAATCAATCAAATGATGAAAGAATGTATTCTGTGCCTGGATAATGATTTAACTAGCTTAGCTTGCTGAAGATTTCTGAGAATGAACTGGCAGAAGGCACATGATAAAAAACATCTTCTTCAAAACAGTAAGAATCTTTTCCTTCTTTGAAAATGAGGCTCTGCTTTTGCAGAACCCACATGCCTAGGTAGAACATGGGCGGCAGTAATAGAATCTTCCTCTACTGTAGTGATTCTTAACCTTTTTTGGGATTAAAAAGGCTTCTCTCCCTTGGTGAAAGCTATGGATACTTTCTCCCAAGAAAATACATGCACAAAACTATACAGGTCAAGGGACCTGTGACTCCTTTAGAACTATCTACTTCTGGTATACAGAAGTCCATGGATGCCAAGTTGAGATCTCCTAATGCCATGCCAGTTTCCAGGATGGGGACTGCCAATGAGGGGATACATGGATGCAACTCACAGCTGATGGTTGAAGCTGGAGCTTGCTGAATCCTGAACAATGTTGTCATTCTCAGTCCATCTGTCTAAAGGCACTTTCAGGCCACTTGCAGATACATTAGTGGTGCTGCTAGTGAAAGATGTTAGTTGCACACTGAGAGTTTTGAAATAAAACATCTTTTAGGAACTTCCATGGTGGTCCATTGGTTAACACTCCTCACTTCTAATGCAGAGGATGCAGGTCCAATCCCTGGTCAGGGAACTATAATCTCACATACTGAGTGGCACAACCAGAAAGTAAAACACACACACACAAACATCTTTTAGGGTCTATTAAAGAACAGTAGACTCATCAGTACATAGGCTTGCAATGTAGACATTTGTTGCCACTTCTAATAATAGTATGTGGTTACTAGATCCTTCTCTATGCAAGACCAGAGTTTTTTCCTTAATTTATAGAATTGCTGACTCTTACTAGTCTGTATCTCCTATTTTCAGTGAGTTGCCACTAATTGCCATGAGCTCGTTTATAAAATAAAGACATTAAAAGCATATTATGAAGTTGATAAATTAAACCAGAACAATTATAGTAACAGGGAAACATGGCATTCAGCATCACCAGGCAGGGAGGAGACGGAAAGGGGAGAAGCAATATCGACTGTTAGGACAGGACAGGACAACAGAGTGAGTCTGTGAGACTGTGGGGAAGCCTGTCCATGAAGCATACTAGTGACAGACTCAGTCACTAGGCAATGCGATCCTCCACATCCTGAAATATATTGGTAACAGCTCTTATTTATTCAGTACCTACTTACCATATGCCAGTCACTGTACTAGGCAGTAAACATAGAATGATCTCAGTTAAGCCTCACAACTCTCTCTAGGTATAGTATTTGTATACCCATTTGACAAATGAAGGAAGAGAGTCTTGGAATGACAAAGTTAAACCCTTGTCTGATGCCCCATAGTGAGTAACAGAGCTGGTCTTCTGACTCTTCAGTGCCTGCTTTTCTTTCCTATGTTGCCTTTCTATGTAAAAGAAAGTCCCCCCAACTTGAGGAAGTAAACATCTTTCTTTTCATCTTCTTTTTCCCTCCTTCCTCCCAGGGTTTAACGTAAGGTTTCTCTGCCCCAGAAACCCTTGGCAACATCGAGTCCCAAAGGCAAACTGGTACACAGTGCAGATTTCCTGAGCCTACTGCCTTCCTGTGCTGCAGTGAGGTGGTGGCAGCCCAAAACTGGGCCTGGGCCCATCCAACCATGAGCCTCTGCATGCTCCTGCTAAAAATTATACAGAAGTGGATGCTATTTACCTATTTTTTTAAAAGGAGCTTTAAAAATATTTTTGTAAAGGCATTCTATAGCTCAGTATCAAAGAGCTGGAATTAAAGGACTGTTACAGAGGGGCCCATTCCTCAAGAGGTAATAAATCCAAGACCATACCACCACTCATGGATCTAAAGGCAAACATGAGATAGTTTTTTAAAATGTATTTAAAATCCATTAGAACAGAAAGCACATTGGCAGTTGCTAGGTCTGGAAAAGAGGGGTATAGAAGTGGGGCTTTATTGTGGAATGATGGAAATGTTTTGGAACTAGATACATACGGTGACTGCACAACACTGCAAATGTACTAAATGCAACTAAACTATTCACTTTAAAATAATTAATTTTGTGTCATCTAAATTCATTTCAATTTTAAGAATTCACTGATAGAGAATTTATGAGACTATCAGAAAAATAATTATGATGTCTACCATATCTTCTGCTCCAGCTGAGACCATTATGTACAGCCACCTGGGTCAACCCAGTAGAAGGAATTCCATTTGGACAACATTAAGCCAGATCTAATAAGAGTAGTATTGATTTCAAATCAGAGCCTGGAGAAAAAGCCAGAAATCTCCCTGGATGTAAATGAAAGAAAGAATAGCTAGAAATGTTGCTTGCTTGTGAGTAGTTATCACTGATTTCCAGCTAATTTTATTTTTATTATCATATCATCAGAAATCTGTAAGTTCCTTAAAAACATCCAAATTTTAAGGACACATTTTGTTTCTTAGAACCAAATAAATTTATATACCTGAAAGCACAGTGCTAATTTAAAATGGAAATAACTGAAGGGAGCTTTACAAACATAGTTCCTATGTGAAAATTTATTTTTCTTTCTAGACAGTACATTACTCGCTTTGCTGCATGTTCAGATTTAAATGTACAGGTTAGTTGCTGTCATCATGCCTTTTGCTATTTTCAAATATCTCACATGGCTATGCCATTTGCAAATGGAGTGAGTGCTCCTGAATCCAGTCAAACAAAGGGCTGTTTTTATTTTATTACCAACCCTTGCTGCATACACTTAAAGGGAGAAAAGAATGGTTACTATGTGGATCAAAAGGCTGCTCTCCTCCTCTATCGATCTCTTAGAAGTTGATTGGATTGCCCTCATGTTTTATGCTATTTCACAAGCTTACTAGGTGGGGGTGGGAACTAGCTAAAATTTATCAACTCTTCCTTAAAATCCCTTGAAACACACACACACACATACACACCCCAAGATTATAATAAAACAGAGTGAGTCATACCACAGATATT